CATGTAGCTGTACAGTTTTGGCCCTTCAGAAGCATCAAAACGATAAGAAACTTACCCATTCCGATGGAAGCTCTTAGTGATTTTCAAGCCTTTCCTTCAAAAATCGCCAATGAACGTAATCTTGATCACGGTTTTCCGGGGGTTCTGGCGCATACAGGGCCCAATCCCATGTGTGAATACGGGTTTTCGATCCAGAACCCGATGTAGCAAGCAGGGCAGAGGATCCTTTTCCTCTACCTCTACCATGATAAGGAAAAAATGTGAAGTCCCATAACTACTTCACTTCATCCAACTGGTTTGGCTGCTCGAAACTCCCAAAATCCGTACCTCTCATACTACTTGAAGGAGTTCATCATGATAAATAAAATTACCTAATACATAATAATACAAAATTATCTAAAGAAAAACCCGTGCACACATTCTGCCATACACTTTCTTCTTCTCGAATTCGAGGTTCTCGAATTAGAAATCTCCCGCAGCTCGATATACGAGAGTAGACGCTAACGCAATATACGGGGGCAATGCGGTAGCAACGCATTTGAAATCGCGTTAAAGATGTCTTTTGTGTGAAAAATGGGTGTAAGATTCAGACGGTGCGTCAGCCATTTTCATTCTTCCTGGAATTCCTGCCTTCCCTAGGCTCAGTCCTAGAGGATGCCCCCGTACATTGCGATAGCACCAGAGAATGTACGCATTTCTGCTCATTCCCATCATATTTTTATTCAATGTGGTACTGTAGCTGAATTCTCCGAACACTTCGTCAAGAAGGACTGCAGAAAGCGGGTTGCTAAAAATGCTGGAATGGCTTCTTAGCTACGATAGCTGAGCGCAAAAATTCAACCAAGTAGAGGTATTGGCAGTACAGACAGAGCAGTCCATAAAGGTGTAGGGCCTTTATGGTCAGAGTAAGGGCCAAGGTCATGCGGCGGCAGAAGGTGCCGTCACTCCACACATGGTCCGAGATCGAATCCCAATTCGACTCTCACCCTGGCCAACCAAGCGTTCCATACCTCGCATACCCGGACATATTGTCCGTCAGAACCCTTCGAGAGGGATAAACACTGACACTTCGGCTAACTGATTACTGCACAGACCAACTACACATCCAAAAACAAGTGTAATTTAGTGGTAGACAGACGACTGCATGGCGCATCCCGAAAAACTTTTAAGTTATTCTTCCAATTTTGGAGTAGACGATGATAAATGTGATGTTCCAGTAAGAAAATGTTATAGAGAATAAAACTCAGTTATGTGATGTTCTAAGAACCTACAGTCATCCGATAGTAGGCATGTGTTCTAAATTCAGCCAAAAATTAAAATGAGATTGTTCCAGGTCAGTCATCAATAATCCCACAGGAATTCTCGACATTCGAGTCCAATGAACCGGCGATACCGAAAGAAATCAACTACCGCGGACAAACCGTTGTCGGATTCGATCTACGCGGCACTGATATGCTATGCTTACCACAGGTATTACAGATTTGCGTCGGTTGTTGTAGCATGAGGTCACTACGCGACGTCGCGTAGACGCATTTCAAGTTCGCGCGCCAAATTTGGACGGACTGCCTTCGACCGAGCAAATTGCGACTGTGGCAATTAAAATAAAAAAAAAAAAAAAAAAAAAAAACAAAAAAAAAAAAAAACATATTCGCAAGTGTCCTCAACCGTGTGAGCATTATAGTAACAGATTGCAAGGGAACTGCTCTTCCCTTATAGAACGAATCACGCCTTCTCGAAATGCCGAGGATGAACGAACATTGTCCTTACGACCCCAAAAGGTCCAATTTGTTCCAATTAACACTACTAGTAGAAGCGCTAAGCGCAAGCGTCAGACTTTGCGATACCGCGCAAAATCGCTCGTTTGGTCCCACAAGTCTGAAATTTCTTAGTGCTAACGTAACTGCCTCCACCCCGCCACAACATCTCACTATTCCTTCCTATTCACTGCAACGCTCTAGAAGTGGCCGACGTCGCGTGGTGACCTTTTGTCACACTGCATTAGTAGATTGTGAACAACCTCTCCATAGAAGATAACCACACTCATTACAGGTCTACGAGCTCTTTCTCAAGAACATGGTTGGCGGCCTACATACAGTTTATACAAAGCTCAAAAGATTGGAAATAACACCAATCATATGCAATGTTGAACAGGTAAACATTTCCACGTTGGCCACATAGCGCCACATAGGCGATATAGCGCGAAAACGAGCTACATGGGGACATAGCGCAACATTGAGCCACATGGGGCCACAAGGCGCCACTATGACCAGCAAACACTCAATGAGCAGAATACCATAAATCATTGTTGTAAGCAAACTCAACGCAGCTTCTACAGCATAAAAAGCAGCGCTATACACATACGGGGCACATTCAGGACAGTGCCGTTGGACCCATAAACATACCCCATTTCCCTAGAAACGGAATATATCTTAGGGCATAGAGAAAATACTCAGGATGCTGAGAGATTTATTGTCCACATTCCTACCTCCGCCTAGCTATCCAGAATCCTCCCCGTATTTGCGATAGCGTCCACAGGATATCTGTCTTCTGATAGGGACATAGGCGCGAACAAGGCGAACACAGCGACAGGTCACCAACGAAGCTACGGTGGGCCATCGCTCGATAGAAAAGCTTAGGCTTTGTCTCGAAAAATAACATGGGTATTCAAAAATTTCATGCTAAAACCACAAAATAACAATACTTGATTAGTATGATACTATTTGATTCCAGTACGACTCACGCATAAGAACCTATCAAGCCAGGTTAAATCGCTGCAAATTGAACGCCACCCATTTTGACTCGCCTTATACGACTGCACGAACACATGTAGCGTTCACTTCTAGTTTGCATCGTAATCAATAATCGATTCCTCGATATTTTAGCACTCGCCCTGGTCGTCCACCTAAACGCACCTCTGCCGTTGAAGAGTGGGTCGCAAAACGTGACAAATTCGAAGGTTCGTGATTCCTTTGAGTTTTAAAAACGTGGGAAAGAGGAATTTGAAGAGATATGGCGTAAAATTTACCAAATAACACAGTTTTTTTCAGAGCACCAGACACAATGTGGAAACGAGTCCGATTTTGGTGTCGCGCCATGCACAACGCAAATGAATCCACTTTTCCTTGGACAGTTGTTACCACAATTCAGTGCACAACAACTTCTCGTACAACATATGATGGTATTAGCCGCTGCGCAGAAACAGCCAGAGATGTAGTAAGTTTTGAAATGATCTTCACTAGGGGAAACTTCTCGGGGATTTTCAGGGACGGGGGAATTTTCCAAGAAACCATGAAGATTTCCTCGTTACCGTATCCAATCCTGAAATTCACTCAATCACCAATCGATTATCGATTTTTTAGCACGCCATCATCCATGGCATCCATGACAATATCAGCTGACGCTGACGTCGAAGGTGCACCGTTGAATTTGTCGAAGTCAAACTCGAATTCTGAGACCAGTGACAGTGACTCATTGGAGAATATCCGAAAGGAAAGCGATGTGGGTTTTTCTATCAATTATTGATCGATTTGTTGAGCCGTCAGTTATTGATCAATAGCTTTTCCAGATCTCCCCAAATCAATCCGAACGAGGTGGATCGAATTCCAATAACTCGTCCTCGTCATCATCAGATCCCTCAACAGCTGCTGCCACCAAGATCATATCGCTGATAGATATGGCCAGCGAACATTTCAAACATCAAATGGAATCGATACGTAAAGAACGAGGTGAGCTCCAGCTCTAACCTGGCTCCAGAGAATTAACTGATCACTCAAAAACTGCCAATTTGCGGAAGGTCCGAGCAACATTCCTGCCTAACTCAAATCTAGACCTCGTGCTCGAAAAGGAGTGCCTGAGTAATTAGCCAGCAGTCAGCTCCATCAGCACGTAAGCTCGACTTCCAAGTTCTCGGCTAAGAAGTAGCTTTCGTCCGTAACTCGGCACCGTCGTGCTGTCTTGCATCGTCATAGCCAACGATGGCCAAAAGTGGCACTAAACAAACATTTCTAGTCTAACTGTGGTTGCTATTGACGGTACTATCTAGAAAACTGTCCTTGATCAGGAGAATTCTAATAGTGACGATTTCGGGACCATCAGTACTACGCGTTGAGCGTTACACGTTAGTCAAAGCTATCACTAGGCCCATAATTGTCCTCCTCTAAGGTGTTGAGTTGTTCCAGCCCAGGATATCCGTTTTTCCCAGACCGTTCAGTGGTTGATAGTAGTAGCATTGGTCGTGGATGGCGATACGAGATATCCCTAGGATGCTGAATTACAGGCAAAACACCTTTGTAAGCCAAAAAGGAACCTGAATTCTTGAGGGTGCCGAATTACGGGCATTTTTCAGTCATGATTTCAACTTGGACCTCGCGCAAAAGTCTAAACATGTCGTTAACCCACAGCACACTAAAAGACCCTACGCTCTCCGTAGAGGAGTGCTCGAGTCCGTGGTAGCACTCTTACCACGAAAGCACAAGGTCCTGGTTTGAGACTTGGCTGAGGAAGAGGTTTTGCCCGTCAGCGCACGTCGCTCGCCAACTAGGCCCAAACTGGCAAATCTGGCCTAACTGTGGTTGCTATTGACGGTACTTTATAGGGGACTGTCCTCTGACACGAAACTGCAGATGGTAGTGAACCATTCGACGAATCAGTACTATGCGCTCTGGCCTTCAGAAAAGCCCTTCAGAAAATATCAGAGAGGACCTGAAGCTCCTGTAGATTAAGGGACGATAGGAAACCGCTAATAAAAAGTGGTGACATACTTTGATAAGCTGATGCTCTGAGAATGGCGTAGAGTTCTTGCTGGCCATCTTAAAGTACAGCTTTTCAGTACAAGTACAAGCAAAGTCGGGGGTTGTAAGAAAAGAGTGTACTCAATCTTTTTCTCTCCAAATGGTATTCAGAAAGGATTAGTATCTAGTGAATAACTTCCTCCGTGTTCTTCAAACACTTCACCGACCTTTCCTCGTCAGAATTGAACTTTGGCTACTGGGACTCTCACCTCGTTGCAACTCAGCAGAGCCAGGTGGTGAAACAAAGAGAGCATGGCGATGTCAGATCAGTGGAGCTGCGTGTCAGCACGGTTTCATGATCACTTAGACCTAAAATCTGTCCCGAAAGGCTAGGGCACAGAGGTTACAGAACGACGGCTACCTCAGCTTCTAACTGTGCCAGATGGGCGATTCTTGAGCCAAGGAAAGGTGTACGTAATGGACTGAATTCACCCTAACAATTCAGTTCCTTCTCTGTGCCGGGTTCTTTCAATGGATATGTGTTAGCGGCCATGCAATCCATTGTAAAAGCCAAGTGTATTCCAACAACTCTACGAATCCTATCAAGACTGAGTGCGCGGCACATTCTGAAAGAGGCTGCTGATCGACAGCCACTTAATTCCTCCGTTTTTCTGAAGTATCCAGAGCCTTTTGTAGAGTTATGCGTCCAGGAATAAAATACTAGCAGCTAGCTGTTAGCTGACCATGAGCTAAGTGCGAGTTGAGTGGCAGCTAACTGCTAGTCAACTCCCAGTCAGCTCTTGGCCACCGCTAAAATGACAAAGGCTTCAAGGGTTTCTTATAAAACCATGGCTCTAGATGTCTGTTTTTCTGAGCGGGAGCACAAGCGTCACTAGCGGCTGCTTGAGCTAATTTTAGCACAACTATCCTGTTCATTCGTTATAAGCCCCATCTATTTGATTCGTTCACAAATAGAACTCGAATGCGCTTTCATGCTTAATGAAAAATCCTTCACGCCATTAGATGATCTATAATTCTTAGCCGCTTATGACAGCGGCGCCTTATTGAGTGGATCTAGCAGCCTAGAGAAATTCCCCGCTTGAGTGCACGATCCGCTTACTCCATAAGCATGGTGTTGATAAGGTAACACGGAAAGGATGAGCTTGGTGATAAGCACTTCACAGATGATGATCGACGTCAGCCGAGACCTCTGGCTATCGTCATTCACCCACATTTGGCGAGATCCTCCTAAATGAGCTAGGCTTCCATTTTGCGTTCAGAGTAATGAGCAAATGAGGTCGCTGGGTAAGTAACTCTTCGCTTCAGACTAACGCTCCAATTGAATCCACCTTCCAGGAAGACTAACCATAAGGTAGTAGGGAGGATATCAAGTCAGAAAGTCAAAGTCCTCCCCAAAGTAATAAAAATGACCATTATCTTCTTATGGTTGTTACCTCTGAGGGTTGGGGTAGGAGGGTATGCGCTATAACAGCAAAAATGTGCAAGTTTCCATTTTTCCCCATCACTGTCGACATTTTTAACATCTTCTCGAGAAAGTATGAGCTCCCGAGAAATAATTAATTCTTTCGAAACGCCGAATGTGAACACGAGGTTAGGTAACCTTGTCATGCCCGTAATCACACTTCGAATCTGTAAACTGAATCATCGAAGCAATAAATCCAACTCATTGTTAATCCATGATGGGCACACATTGCCAGCTATGGACACAACCATCTCTTTCAGCGGTTTTATAATTCCGTCTGGTCTTGTCATCTCCAAGAAGCCAATAAAAAGTGAATGCATGGCTCACTCCAAAAAGATCCAATCTAGAGCGGTACACTCTAGTGGACAAATTTAGGCATAAGTACATCTTTCAGCTTTTTTTTTCTAATGAGCAGATGCCGTCCTGTCTACAATTTAATATGACTGGTCTCTTAAAGTGCGCGTACGTGGCTCGTCCTTAACAGACTCGCGTACGACGAAATGCAGAGGGAAACAGGAAAAGGCATCTGAAATTTTAAGAAAATCTGAATTTTACATGAAAGGTCAGTTAACCACTTTGCCCATATTGACCTTTCTGCTTCTCACATCCTTTTTTGAAACAATCCTATCCCAATCCTCCAGAGGATGAAAAATCAATCTATTGATTAAATTGTGAATAGTGATAAGTATGAATTGATTTTCAGAAGAAGTCGAATCTCTACGCTGTCAACTGAAAGGATCACTCATTGACGAAAGCAAGCTACGAGAACAATTACAGGCCGAGAAGAAAAAATCAAGTGAGTAAATTCAAGGGATATAAGGACCTCTTAGTTTATCGTTGGTGACAAGGAAAGGTGGTAGTCAAGGGGATTCACCGCGCGGCGTCTCGTCCTGGGGACGTTCGCGTCGTGAAACTTGGCATCCTGGCAAAACAAACCCACACCTTTCGCGAATTCATAATACCGGGATATTTCGTCCACTACAACCGCTCTTACCGAAGTCTCCGAGGTCACCGCGCGACACCGCGCACGATTGCAAGTGCTGGCAACGTCAGTCGTTACCTTCACACTCTCAGGGAAACACACACCTAAACACGCAAAGACATAATGACGCAGCAATTATGTTCGCATCAAAAGCCGTTCCTACAAAGTTCTTCGCCGGTAAGCAGGTCACCACGCGACGTCGCCGTCACTTGCGGTCCAAATTTGCGCGCTCAACGGGGGACGGACTGGCTAGCGATTATACGCGAGACGCATCGCGTTGTGAAGTATTCTGACCTAGCGGAAGCATCCTTGGGATGTCATACAGGTGAGCACACCGCGGGCAGTCAACCCTCGAAGTTCATGTTTCCAAGTAGCCGTCCGTGATAAGCAGCAAATACGCGTGCGGTTGCGGCGCGTCGCTGTGTACAAACTTGTGTGGTGCACGTTTCAGTAGTCACTGTGCAGAAAACAAGAAGAACAACCTAATTTTTAAAAGATTCTTTTAAGAAATCGATAAACCTACCTCATAAATCCGTTCTATTTCAGATATCTACTTCCGCCGCTATTGCAAAGCCAGACGTGAAATGAGTCTGCTAAAGGAGCAGATGTCGGAGACCAGAGGCGGTTCATCGAATTCGAATTCAACAGCCTAAAATACAAAGTTATGGAACACAAAGTTGTTCTCCGCCTTCTCGCGTAAACCCGCGCACATTCTCGCCCAATGTCGCGCGGTCACTGAGTATAAACTCTTTTTTTCGGCTGGAAATTTTTCTATAAGAAATTTGTCACTTTCCTTAGTGAGGGCATCTATCCCAGTGTTCGCTACTTTTCCACCAATCGATAAGCATGAATTACATTGGCTTATGATTTCTTTACTGTTCTTGCGTCCGTACATACAAATCTCTTGTGTCCAAAACCTTTTGCGCATTGTAAAAGTCTACCAGTGAAGCGCTAGCGAGCACATCAAAACATCTATTCACCACTTATTTTATAACCACTAATAAGTACTAGTATTTCCTCAAAAACTCGCGCCAGAGTTTTACAAAACCAGACGCGTGCGGACGCGTCGCGTTCCCTCCTATCTGATCACACTTCTATGCATCATGCACACACGGATAGCTTGTACTGAGATTACGGTATGTGGCCGTTTGTGCTAGATATGTGATTAATTTGTGTGCTGATTAAATTGACCCATAAGTGATGTCTCTCTTTACCATATCGATTTCCGCGTTGATGTGTCCGTTAAAAAATCGATAACTTGTGAATTTAATGTTTTTGTTGTGAATTGAATGTCCAGAATGTGTATCGTAGTCGGGTTAGACGATGCGTTCTTAAGTTATTTTTTCACAAAAACAATTAATGAGTATTCCTTTTGTCCGTTGTGCTTAAAAATCATCGATCCATTGCAATTTATTAAGTTTTGTGAATAAATCGTTGTCATTGTAAATGGAATTATCAAACAGGAGCAACACAGGGAAGTAAGTGAAAGCTCAGCAAAACCATTACTTCCGTTTAGATGTAGCACCAGACTTCATTAAAAACCTCAAAAAGCACATGTGATATCGATTTTTTCAAGACCTTTGCCTCGTGTGCCAGTGAGCTTGCGATTAAGTGCGACACGTTCACCCCGAAAAAAGGACAGCTCACCACACTACAGAGTATATGAGAATTTAGCTATAACTTAACCTTGATGGTTACTTCTATCAGCTCAATGACGCAAACCCGGAGTTCTGTGTGATCGTCACTGTATCGGGCGTGTGCATCCCCGGTGATGCACCAATCTGTATCTGTCAAGGGAGGGCTGCTGCAGCGGACAACTTTCTTTTTTTTGGCTGTCGCGTCACATAACTCGGCAGTCTCGTAATTGGATCTTGTAAATCGCTACAATATGCAGTCGCGGAATGTGCTTTTGAGGGAGGAGGGGGGGGGGGCACCGGGTATCAACCACGCACAATGGACCCGCTTTCGAAGTTCAATTTCCCCCCTCCCCATTGGATGGATCCAATATGACCCCATCAACACCATCATCGCCATCTCTACAACCACCACTGTTGCTAAATATTTCATTTGATTTTGCCAACCACTTAAACTTTTGCAACTCCGTCCCAAAACTCTTCCTAAACTGCCGTTAAGCGGCGAAGGGAGGAAAGGGAATGAATATATACGGCCTATGAAACAGGGAATCCTGCCTAATTTCTAGTAGGTAAGCCCTAGCTAGTGCCACGTAAAAACACCTCCAGTCGCGTAGTGTACTTGCGTACACCTAAAGACCATCCTAGCCTTAGCAAAAGGGTATTTCGATGCCCTGATCACGAAAATGACATTCAACTTTTAGCGGTGGCACCATCTGGCGCCAGTTGGTGTCGTCTTGTCATTACCCTTGTTTTCACCAATTCGGTCTACACTTAACCTCCCTTCAAAAAGCGAGAAAGTGTCGGGTGCAGACCAAACACCACAACTGACGACGGCTCCAAGTAAATCTGGTTAGAAGTTGTTCATAGTGATAGCTGATTTCTGGTAAATGATAGTTGTAATTAGTGACAATCGATAGAATACAACTGCAACAGGCTAATCATTTCATTGGCAGAAAACATTAACATTTTGTGAAGGCCGTCGTCACTTGTGGTGCATGGTCTGCACCCGACACTTTCTCGCTTTGAAGGGGAGGGGTATGTATAAAGGTGATTTGGTGCCCTGATTACGAAAATGACAGCCGTTTTTGGCATTAACGTTGTTCAACGCATATTTCCCGATTTATCCTATGGGAGGCGCAGACGAGAAAATGGGCGTCAAAATGACGCCAGCACCAAGAATGAATATCAATTTTCGTAATCAGGACACAAATAACCAATTATACGGAAGGTTTACACCAATTTTGGTGAAAACAAGGGTCGTGACAAGGTAGTGTCAACTGGCGCCAGGTGGCACCACCGCTAAAACTGAATATGGTTTTCGTAATCAGGACATCGATTACCCCTATGGCAAAAGTTACGGTGGTCTGTAGGTGTATGCAAGTACAGCGCACGAGCGAAAGTATTTTCACGTGAAATTGGTTAGGGCTTATCTACCGGCTAGGGCTTATCTACCGGAAATTAGGGTATTTGGTAAAACTCCGGTTCGGGGGGGGGGGCACGCGATGGCGCGGCTCTGTTTCGTCTGCTCCTCCAAGGCTTCTTAGTCCACAGGGACAGTTACTCTTTCGCCATTATGTGGCAGTTTCAAAATACGCGCCATTGGTGACTAAGCCTTGGTAGAGCAGACGAAAACAGCGCCGCCGCACGGGCATGGTCCCCCAGCAGAGTCAACCCTGCGTTGCGCAGTTCTCAACGGCCACGTTGCGCAGTTTCGCCCGATTAGACACGTTCTCTCGCGCGAACATTCACACTCGCATGCTCGAGCCGTCTGTGTCTCCGCCCATACAGCGTGCGTTGAGGATCTCTCAACGTGCCGTTGCGAACTGCGCAACGCAGGGTTGACTCTGCCCCAAGAGCCCGTCGCGCGGCGAAGGAAGAGACGCAGATGCGGCAAAGGACGAGTCGCAGCGCGTGCTGTGCGATATGAGACGTAGTATGGTACACTCTATTTAACCTGACGCCTAACCGCTACAGTATTGCGCGCGGTGGGCCTCTTGGGCGACACCCTGTGCCCCCCCCCAAACCCGAGTTTCACCGGGTATTTCAGCACATCTCAGCATTTTTGCCATAAAAATTATCAAAGAATTCGTCAAAAATGACGCCATCCCCTACAAAGCACGACCTCTTCAACTTCCAGCACCCACAGAAGCGAGCCATCGAATTTCCCAACAGACGATTAATCCTAGCAACGAGGCACTTTTTTTTTTTTTCCCTTTTTACTCGTAAACTGACACTAAGGCCAACCGTCAGCCAGACTGCCTACAAATGAAAATCGACTGTGGCAGCTTATACGAAGTTATACGATTCAGACTTCGAGTGCAATATCAGGATTTTTTTCAAAGTTTGATCACATTGCAATTCTGCGGATTCAAAGCTATTTAGCTACGGAATATCATTGGGTGGCAGGCGATTATTAAGGCCTTATGAACTTCGAACGCTGAGAAACTTCGTCGCGTCTTTTTATGAAGCACACTGTCCTCGCCGTTATCGTTGTTCACCCATTTGAGTTTCAAGGCAATCAATTCAATTTGTTTTGCCATTGAACGAACGCAAATGGTTGCCGGGCGTTCATCGTTGCCGGGCAAATGTCACTCAGTCTCTCAAACTGAAGATTTCTATCAGCACTCACGTTTTCGACGTCGGCATCCATCAATCGTCGCAATTCAAATCGAGTTCCACCGGCCATTTACGCGTTCATGCCATCGCCAGGGACAACATTTCGCTGGAAAAAACATATGGCAATTTTTTGATGCGCAAACGATTTGAACCAAACCACTAACTTTGCTGTTTAGAGTTTCCAAATGCACGCTCCATGAATAAATAGGTTTATTTGCGCTCCGTAATGAAAGCTGAGGCGCGATGTGGTTGCCACTGAACAAAAAATATGAAGAAGCTGTCAAAATCATTAAAATTTAGGGCCTTTTTTATGGGGTAAACAAGGCTACTGCGAAAGGACAGCGGACCCACGAAGAGAGCTGACGAGAAAGTATGGCGACGAGCGAGACGCAGGCAGACCGCTGCGAATACCGTCACATCGTGACCAACAGCATGGGCACCCGGCAAAGCTTGATAAAACTTTAGCAACGTTGCCGCTCACTTTCAAGCGATGAGAACTGCACGTCTTCTAAGTTTGTAGAAAACTGAGTTATTTTTGGGTTCCTTTGTTTAACTCCTCAGAGGGTTGCGATTTTTTTTACTGGTCGACGTTTTGGCGGGGTCGCCTATCAACACATGGCTGTGAGCGTTCCTCGAGACAATCTAGAAGCCAGCACTGAGACATATAGCAATCCATACCGACTGTGATTCCTATGACGTGCTTAACTGATCGTGGGACAACCTCTATGGTGTGGTGGCACATGGGCTGATCAGGACGTCTAATATTAAATTCTCTCGGATTAGGTTTTCTTATCATCTGATTTACTTCATCTGAGGGCGTGCATTCAGACCCTCAAGATCGAGTCTTAATGGATGGGATCAGGAGTCGTACTTGAGCCAACTCAATCCGCATGCCTGTGGTCACATGGGATATCAGAGATTAGAGACTCATCGCCCTCACAATCTAATCCGATCCACCTGCAAGCGCCTGATCAATGACCTCTATTATATCAGGCGCTTTTCGTGTGCTTTCCTTCAAATGCAGGACCCATCGAATCAATCTCCCGTAACTTGATCCTCTCCATCTGACAACATCCAACCTGAACCGCCCACCTAACCAGTTCCACTTCGCGAGGCCCAATAGGGGACAGGAACTCCTCTCAAGAAACTGTTACTAACTGGGTGGGCTCCATTTTATAGCACACAGGATGCCCGAGACAATCCTCTGCGGGAGCAAATATGTATTATCCCCCCATTATATCTAATTGGGTCTAAACAACTTAAAGATATAGTTCGTTACTAGATCGCTGAACCAATCGCTCCCGCAAATGCATCCGCACAGGTAGGACCACTGTCCCTTATCAAAATGCGTAAAAAGTTCGCTAAAGCTCAAAACTTCCAACCGAAGACATCTTGAACCG